GGTTGAGGGTTTAGGGTTTTGAGCATACTGGGGTTTAGGGTGAACTTAGGGAATACAGGGGCCTACTGGGGTTTAGGGTTAGTATTGGGAAGACAGGGGCCTACGGGGGTTTAAGGTCAATAGAGGGAATGCAGAGCTACGTAGGGTTAGGGATACTATCCAACAGTGGAGAACCAAATGGAAAAGACAATGGAAAAACGGAAGCTGGGCTTATGCAGGATTCCTTACCAGTATTATTTTTTAGAATACTCTCCACCGCTAAATGAAAAGAACAAATACCCCCATATAAACTACCATGACATAAAGGGAATTAGGGGCTTATTGTTAGGATTATGTTAAGTAATGAACATGCAAGTTATAGCCAATTTGCAGCCTACGCCCCCCAAAATTTACTGCTATGGATAACACGAGCTGTTTATAATATGCTTGCCTAGCCATACGCCAGTGCTCAAACCCAGGTTTAGGGATTTTTGGTGGTCTCTTTTGATGTGGTCTCTGTTCAAACTTGGGGTACTCGCACAAAGGAGGGGTATAGCAGGATGACTAAGGGACTATTGCGGGGACCATACTTGGGGGCCCATGGGCAGCAACTGTTTTGTAAACACCTCTCACAGGTGGCAAGACCCGTACCGAGAGTTATACAGGTATATGAAGGCTTGGTGCATGGAGTGTTTTGGTTTGCAAGTACTTGGAGGCTATTAGGAGGTGGACCCTGGGCTTCCGTTTGAGGACTTTGGAGGCTGGGCCATGCGTGGGGCCATATACGTGCTGTGTGCGTGTCACAAGGATTCTTGGACATGTTGTGAATTCGCAGGGAGCTAAGGGAACAAGATGGGAGCATCATAGAGATCCTGAGAGGCACTCGCACAGTAGTAGCTCCTCTGCGGATTCGCTTTCTCATCCGAGCTCATCATGGAACTCTCCTTGAAAGATTGCTCCCTATATTTCATGAAAGCCGCCTACAGTCTAGCACTGGAATCGCTTGATTCAAAGCACCTGCTGCAAAAGTTGTTGTGGGAGATCAGGCCCCACCATGCGTAGACACACGACCGACAGAATTGCAAACATGCTACTATTCTCGGACACACCCTCTGGCAAATACACAGGAAAATGACTTTTTACCCCCAATAGTCAAAGACCTCCAAATACCTAGAATAATGGCCTTCTTTGCCTGCAATACTAAGTATGCAGGCTGTTATTATGGATGTTTTGGGAGATCTAGGTATCGGTTTCGATTTGCCTGAGGACAACACGATGTGGCGTCACACTGCCGCGCTGCCAAAAGCCCTTTACCCGCCCCAAACTGACATGGAAACCCAATCACAGGGCTGCAAAAAGATTACGTTCCGTGTCAGAACGAAACACATGAGCTGTAGTCTAGACTCCTAGTATCCCACCTATGTATAACCCTTTATATAAACCCCCTTTAATGAATTCAGACCCTAAGCCCTAAATAATCCCCTATATGACCCCCGCAAAGGAGCTTAGACCATAGCTCACCCGGAGTCCTTGGTTTGGGGGGAAGTGGTCACCACCCAGCAAGCATTGAGCTGAGGCATTTTTACATCGCACCTCAAAATTGGGGTTATATACAGGTTATACTGGGGCTATATTGGGGTTATGTAGGGGCTATATTGGGATAATGAGAAATAGAGTGGCAACTCTTAAAATATTGTGGGTATATATGGGCCATATAGGGAATCACCACGACCACTCCTTAAATGAGCGTAGTTGATGGCCCTACGGCTCAAGCACTAGAATTCCACAGCTTGGCAGGCTCTGTGAAGGGGGTTTGCAGGTGGATATGGAAGGATCCGTTGTATGGGCCGGTTAGATCTCCTAGATACCCATAATACCAGCCTTTATACGCCCTACCTGGAGTAAAAGGCCGGGGTTAGGTGTTTCTGAAATGCCTGAGAGCTTCAAGAGCCGTACAGCCAAGGGCTACGTCACCCTGGAACCTTAAATATAAACCTGCTCCCCACTTGATGTGACGTACAGGAGATTCCCGGACCCCTGGGCGAATCTAGAAAGTAGGTCCTCCTTCAGCGTTCCTAGAAGTTACGCAATTGCAGTATAGGTTACCATATTGGGGGCTCTACTTTCTAGATCCTCCCAGGGATCTGGGCTTAAGTAGACTTACTAAGTCTGCTTAAATCTTGAAGTGCACCTCAGCCTGTCTCACCCTGCCCCGCCGCGCAGGAACGCCAGCCCAGCGTTAGCACCTTGGGCCCTCTTCATGATTTTGGGTGTAGCGTGTAGGCCCCTTCATGACTTTGCTTGATTGAGGGTTCAAGGTTCGGCGTGTCTGTCTTGTGGAGACTGTTTCCGGCATGCGGCATACAGCATTACCAACTGATTGTATGGATAAATCTCCACAACCACCCATGAAAGGTTTTTCTGCAGATTCAGCCAAGAAGCATCGTATGTGTGTGGCGGTCCTTCAATGGTCATCCCCCTAGAAGGCCTCGAATAACCTCATCTGCATACCATGACATGCGCCATGGCTTGTAGTAAGATGCGTGTAATACTCGTTCCTTGGACAACTTGTGTTTCAGACTCCTTCGTTGGCTCCTGGCAAGCCCAGGAAACGGCCGGCATGGCTCCAAAGGCAGCGGCGTGGAAGATCTTTCTCGAATGGCGAAATTTACCCATTTTGGGGCTTTAAGGTTCTGGTTACGCGTAGCCCCGAGATGAAACACTGATTTTTGTGGATCTCTTAAAAGCATTTGGATACAATTTCAACATTTCAGGCGTCCCTGGTTAGTCTCGTTGAAGTGGTTCTCATCTGCTTCGAGAGTAATTGCCCAGATGGTTTGGGCATGCATAGGAGACATAGCCCAGACATGTTCTTCGAGAGTTTGCGGAATAGTTGTGAGTAGGGAATGGAAGAACGGATCGATAGAGCTCATAGACGCTTTTTCCAGCAGGGTTATCAGATCGGCGCCCGCCGTGACAATGTCTACGAAAATTGCGCAAAGGCCGCAAAAGCATCAAGAACTGTGTTGCTCGTGTTTACGCAAATCCGCGCGTGAAGGTCTCATGCGGCATGTAGCAGTAAACCCACCAGACTTCGCACAGCAGGATCCATCAGCGCAGCCTCAAGTCGTGCACCAACACCCACGGCTGCAGAAGGCCTGGGCAGTCTGCATGTTCACATGCACCTTCTAGCCCTCCCTCTGCTGCTGCTGCTCCTATTGCTGCCACGACAACTGCCGCCTCCACCGCCACCCACCAGCACCACCACCACGGCGGCGACTGCGACACATGCAGCTGCTGCTCGCAATTGCTATTCCACCACTACGAATTAAAACAATGACACTGCCAAAGCCAGCCATAGCCAGGGAACCTTCCTAGTATTTCGTTCGAGGTGTTGATCCACCACTCAGAGGATTGCAGAGGTCATCCCCAGGTATATGACTTCCAGTACCAGTGCAAGTAGGAGACAGAGTCGTAGCGGGAGGAGGACGAGCACCTTACCAGCAACAGCGGTAGAAAGGAGCAGTCATGCGACAGCTACTTTGGCCACTGTCTTTCTCAGCTTTCTTTGCACTACTGGCTATCACCCGAAAAAGAAATCTGAAACTGTTGGGAACTGCTATTCAATATCTTGGCCTCAATCTTTCCTTAAGAGGTGCTCGTGTTCATATTTCTCACGTATTTTGAGGCCCTGCAAACGCCTTGGCTGCACTACGGACACGGGCACAGAGGCACCAGTTACTTGGCAGAGCAAACCGAGCTTTTCTCGACCTGACTGGGGCTTGGAAATCTTCTGGATGGTTCTACCGTAGGGGCCTACATGATTATCAATAACATGGTCCTAGATTCCTTGAGAAATAATGCGCCATGGTGTACCTCAACTGGACCTCAGATAGATTAATCTAATATCAGGAGTCATTTAGGCCCCTGCGGTCGGGTCATTGTTAGAAATTCCCATGTCTTAACCATCATCTTGCACAGGGAAGAAACAACATCGCCAATTTAAGGCAGGACGGCACTCGGGTGCTTGGCTATCGCTTACACAGAACCGACGAGGTAGTGTTTCTGGTGCGTCTGTACTCAACAAGTTTTTGCAGCTGCCAATATCTGCCTGGTGCTTGTTAGGGGAAAGAGCGAATGCACTTTAAAGTGGTCCCTACAGAATCTTGATAGTAGTCCCTACATTTCCTACTCAGCACCAGGCAACATTTTGTTCACAAATCCCTTGCATCAAAAAAAGGCAATAAGAACCCTGGGCCGAAACTTAAAATGCAGGTCATTAGGGTTCAGGATGCAAGGGTTTAGTTATGTTCGTAGCTGCATCCTGAAGCATTTTTCCGGTCAGAAAGGCTACGTAAGGTTGGTACAACTCATGTCGCGATCCTGTTCGTTATCGTTAGCTTGACGATTACCATTGCCTTTGACACACTGTTGCCCCAGATGTTTTCTGAAAACTCTACACTCCTAAATCCTAAAGCGCGAAACCCTCAGCCCTGCAACCCCAAATCACACAACCCTAAGCTCCAGAGCCCCTAACCCTGTTCTTCATATGCGTTTTTAGATCATCCTATTGGGTACGCTCATCTATGTAGTACTTTTAGTAGGGATAATAAAGCTTGGAAAATAGAGGATGTTCCCATGAAACCCTGAAACTCAGTGGGGTTTAAGGGAATAAATATATTATGTAGGGATTACATGGGGCTCATATTCCATTCTTCCCTTCCCTACTAGCCACCAGCAAGCCTAGAAGTACGCTTCTCCGCTGAGGCAAGCTGTCCACACTGCTACACAGCAGGCCATGCTGGAATACCGGGACGATGAGGTGCCGCAGGGCTGAATACCTGTTTAGCAGGGGAGGAAGGAATAGTAAGATGGCAACTACTAGAGTAGTATTGGGGACTATATGGGGTTTCCCAAAATTGGGGTAACTTCTTGGGGGTCCCTATAATAGGGATTATTATATATTGGGGTCAGCCTATTTTGGGAAACTACCATATAGAGACTAGTATGATGAACCATTCCCTAATTCCCTGCAAGCCAAAGCTAGATTTGAGCTTGGAGTTCAGCTTAAGACTCAAGAAGCGCCAAGGGAAGGGCCTGAAGCGCTTTTGCGCGCCTTATTGTGAAGAATCAGGGTTAGAGTAGGGTTTGTGGTTGGGCGCACAGTATAGGGGTCTGAGGTGTTGGGTCTTGAGATGTTCAGGTAGGGGCCTAAAGAATCCAAACTGGCGTTTTGGGTACGTGTTATTCTTGTCCTGTAAGATGTATACGAGGATACGATTATTAATGCAGTTTGGCTCAAGACAAATCTTCAACCCCAATCCCCCAATAGGTTTTTCTACAAAATTTGGTGCCAATAATATGGTTTTCTTTGGTCAGGAACCCGCAGAAGACGAAACATTTGGTCTTGGATGACGGCCCCACAACAAGGATAGAAACCCAAGAGTAGGCACTCAATGGACCTGCGCGGTACTTTGCCATGAATCTGTAGAAGTCCCAAAATGGAATCGACACCTCCTTGATGGAATCCCCACATGCTACAACAGCAGATGCCCTTTAGCAAAGCTCGGGCGTAGTAGCTGAATGAACTCGCGGCAAATATTTGCAACGAAGGGCAGGTCTAAAGGACGCAGACCCTCCCAACGAGAGGTCACAGAGCGACATAACATTGCTAGGCTTCAAGTAGGCCGGGTAAAGCAAGTTCTCCATGAGCCAAGGGCAGCTTCAGAAGCCACAGTCTGAAGGATGAGGGGTACTTTAGGGGATGGATTGTTTTGAGTAGGGCAGGGGATTAACAGGTCAAGTAACATTTTTCGCAGAAAAGCACAGAGCCTTGAACCCACAACTAGCGGATTTGAAGCATGACCTGAAGACGTTCAACGAAGAACAGGATTTGGTAACCTTATCTCCCAAAACGATGGCCTTTGACTATCGTATGATGCAAATACGTCCTGGTTTGCGGGGTTTGGTTACCAAACTCCTCTACCCTAAACCCTAAACCCTCTTATAATCAACAGATTTGGTAGTCATCCTCGTCGCCGCAGCAACAGCCGCACGGGGGTTGGCCCTCTTCTGGGCCATTGTTGCATGTTTAAGGCTCAGGGTTTAGGATTAGAATATTGAAGCTCATTAAGACAAAGCTGGGTAGGAAAATAACCCAAGATGTAGCCAGGTAAGATCGTCTTATCCCCTATAGGTACATTACAGATGTTCTGACTGTTTCTTAATGTGCCCACCTAGAGTACAAGGTATTGGATTTAACAATATCTCAATCTGCCTTTGACCTGCCCGGCCACGCCTCCATTTGATATTGCCCCCACTCAGCAACAGTTGGAAAATGAGCACACCATCAATATTCGCACGCCTTGAATGCTTCCCTAGGTATCACCTTCGGATGATCTTTATGTTCCCTAGTTTCCTTGTAGGGACGTCTGCTTCTAAGTATTTGGGCGGCTGTTACAGTGGCCTGCTACTGGTTGGGGGCAGTACCCGGCACCGCTACCAGGACGAGAGCAACACCCTGGTGCTCACCGTGGATGCGCTTGGACGGGACTTCGCATCGCTAGTTCAAGAAATGAAGCTCGCCTTGGCTTGAGAGTTTGGGTTTTTTAAGGTTTCGCGCGATACTCCAGGGAATTGAAGCTGGCTTTGGCTTAGGATTATCCCCGCCCAATCTTACAGGGAACCTGAAGAGATGCCTTATGTAGACTGTTGTCCGCCAAAACAAGTCTTGGTGACAGTAGATTTTTAAATGCAGGTCTGCACAGTCCGCCTTTGATGCAAGACTGCCACTAGCTCCAAAGAAGGGGGAAGCAGGGGTGTTGCGTTGGAGCATCCAGCCAGTCAGTGCCTGAAAATCATTTATTGCGGAGCAAGTACCATGCCAATGTCTCCTAGCCTTTCTCTGTGCCTTTGAGAGTTGGAAGAGCTGTCATCAAGGGGCAACGTGGTTTTGTCTGATTGAGTGCTGGTTGGCATGCACTGCTTTATAGCCACGTTGCGAGTAATGTCTATGTCATCCCGTGATGTAGACTGCATGTGTTGTCCTCGATACTAGTAGGTAAGGGGTCAGACGTGTTGAAACAACATCCAGCAGTTGATTCTTAATCAAGGAAGATGGCCGACATCCGGGCCAGTGCTGCGGTGGCCTTGTTTCTAGAATCTTCTTGGGCAGCATTTGGGGGTTTTGTGGGTTTGGGATGTACTCTGGGAATAAGGTTTTCTGACTGAGAATACAGAACGCATCGCGTCTTTCAAATCTATTCCGTAGCGAGCTGTAATCCGCATGTCCACTGGAATGTTGCCGATGTCTGTTCACGCGGCCCTGAACCCCGTACCTGCTAACATTAAAGACCACCGATACAGGACATAGTTACTATTGGGGGGGCTGGAGGTTTACTATAAGGGAGAGAGGATGAGGTGTTATAGAGCTTTTTCTGGGTTGCATGTTAGTTTGGAGGATGATACAAATATTAAGCCCGAAACCGCACTGGTAGAAAATTCTAGAATCCAGGATTCCATAGCATTTGATCTCCATGTTTTGAAATCATGTAAACCTGTACACTACTGTGGATGGAGACAATCTTGCACGACCTCATACGCCCTATACCCCAGTGATTTCCACACTTTGGGGATGTTAAGCGGTGCAAGCTTTCCTCCATCCACCGGAGGTTTCCGCAGCTGGATCCTCTGCCGGGCGAGGCAGCGCTGGATCAACTGGTGGACTTGCAGAGACGACACAGCACCTTGATTCTTATTCAGTACTGGTGGTCAGAAGGGAAAGCAGGGGAGTACTAAACGGGTCTTGTTGGAATGCACTCTCGTGTTTGTACCAAGCACTGATGCTTCGAGTTGGGATCCTGGTGGTTTTTTGTTTTGACGGTCACCCCAACCCTGATCCAGGCGTGCTGCGGAACATTCTGCGGCTGGCCGTGGAAGATCTCCCCAGCAGCCCACCACAGGTCAAGCCCCGCGTACCGAATGGGCAGCCAGCGGCGCAAGCCGAACCGCTGTTGTCAATGCTCTCCCCAACCGACACGCCAAGGCGACCTCAGACGCTGCCTCCCCTGGAGGCCCGCGGTCGCCCGGAGGGTCCAGCTCGCTTGGGACGCTCTCAAAGCCGCGGGCGAACACTGAGCCGGGCGAGTAGCCAGGGCCGCCTCAGCCGAGCTGGCAGTCGAGGGAGCCACGCAAGCCACGCTAGCCGCACCAATCGCATCAGCCGCACGAGCAGCCGGGCACGCAGCGTCGAAGCACAACGGCTGCCGAAGCGGTCTGGCAGTGTGCAGTCTCTGCAATCAAGGATCAGCGCCGAGGCAGCACAGATATGACACTTCATCTTTTGATTGCATGCCCGCTTGTCCGAGTAAGTTCTACAAATTAATGGGCGTTGCCTGGTGCCAAGGCGACCTCGGGCGTGGCAAGCAAGAGCCACCACAGGCCCAGAGCGACTCTGCAGATGTCGTGCAGGTTCGCATGAACCCTGGGCCCGCAGCTGTGGGACTCTTGCTGTCATTGCTTGTTTGTTTATCCAAGCTGTGGGCGCTACAAAGGCTTCAGGATGGCCCCCGCTCAGGATTGCATAGTGGTAGTTTAGAAACCTCTCGAGTGAGCTTTTGCGTTATCATTGTTTCCAAGGGGCCTCTACGGTCACTGAGCATACTTCTCGGAAGCGTGCCCTACTCACATCTTGTAGAGTTTATCTGAAAGTACATGCCGACTAATTTTGGCTCAGACGTGCTTGGCTGCCGGGTTGGAGTGCACGGTGAAACCCCAGTAGAACATGAGCCGATTAAAGGGGCTCCCAATAAAAGAGCTTGGGGGGAAGCCCTAGGTTCAAGTCTGATATGAGGACTTTGTGTGTTACACTTGCAAATCCGTTGCAACCTGAACTGTCAGAGCTCACCTGATACCTGATGACAGCCAGGCCTTCGGAGCTCCTACTTAGATGGTCAGGGGGACTTAGTAACTAGGTTCATAAGGGGGATAACTAGGGTTACTATATGGGTTATGGGGGTTATTAACCTACTTGCGACGTCCCCCTGACCCTCCCAGCAAGCACTCACAAGCAACAGTACATTTGGGGTCTCCAAAAATCATGGGCCCTAAAACAGGGCCCACCATATGCTAACCCTTCGCAGAGGGACTTTGCAAAACGAGACCCATGATTTTTGGAAACCACCATTTTGGCCAAACATAGGTCAACAGTGGGCGCAACTCAGCAGCGTGCGGAACTCTAGTTTAGAAGGAATAGTCTCCCCAAATTACCATGGAGCCCCAGAGGAGCACCATAAAGACCACCGTCCTTTGCAAGGCGAGTTCGACGGGCTTCCTTGTTGAGTTGGTGGTATTCAACACATTGGCATGCTTGCCAACATTTCTGGGAGGTTGGGGCTTTTGAGCGTCTAACACCCAATAACTGGAAGAAGACCCCACTTTCTTGCAACTGGACATCTGGATTAACAGGGGGGATTCCTAACATAGGCGTGCCGCAAGGGACGCAGGGAGCAAAAGGGTGCTCCAAAAGTCCAATGAGCTATAGTCTAGACTCCTAGTATGCCCCCTAATAACCTCTACTACAATAGTGCCCTATATTATCTCCTATAGAACCCCCCTTTAAGGAGTTTAGACTATAGCTCAAATCAGGGCCCGTTTCAAGTGAGGTTGCGAAGGGATCCATGAGGATCCAGTCCAGTTGGGTAATGTGGGCTAAGTAATCTCAGCTCCTAGTACCCTCCTTTAGTATCCCTTAGGCTCTAGAATGGTCCCTTAGGCTCTAGAATGGTCCTTTATATAATCCCCTACATTGCCCCTTTTAAGGAGTTATGTGACCTTTATACTTCCCTCCCCCAATATGATCCAAAAACTGTGAAGCCTTGAAATCCTCAAGGATACCGGGACCTCTCCTTGGATGAGATGCGAGCCGAGATCGAGGCTGAGCGCAAGAGGCGTGACCACCTGGTGAGACCATTTATAAGCTCCTTATAGGGATGTTGAGGAACTCAGAGTAGGTTACCACAACATGGACATAAAGAATAATTACTTTGAATAATCTCCTTGGGACTTAGCTTGGACCTTAGACCCTTAACCCTTTGGGATTCCCTCATAGTTCTATTATATAGGTACCTAAGGGTTAACCCTTAGTAGGGGTCCTAAGTGCCACGTAGTAATACTCGTAACCCCAACACCCCAAATATTTAGGACCCTATAACCATCAGATGATAGTCATCGGGTCCTAATTTTGGGGGGTTGAGGTTGCCAAAATCCTCTTGTGAGTAGAGGTTTGAGGGTGCAGGATTTCAGGGCTTGGGGTCAACTGCAGGTGCTTGAAAAATCAGTTTTAAGAAGTTTCAGGTGCATACTATACTGCAGGTGTCTGAGGTTTGCTTGAGGATAGCATTGGTAAGTAGTCAGGTGGTTACCATGCATAGTGCTTTGGGCTTGAGTGCTAGAGTGTTGGGCTTACCCTTCAACACAACGATTTGAATTGCATACGTTGAGTCCCGTCCCCCATTATCAGGCGCCCCATCCCGTAACAATACATACCTCCAATATGCTGCAAGTATTTATGTACTGGATACTATTTGTCATTAGGTGATGGAGAATTGTTTTCAGGGTAGAGTATTACAGGGCAAACACATGGCCAGAAATTTCGTTGGACTGCTATCTGGATGACGGTGGCATCAGGACTCTCAGACAGATGATGCAGTTCCCACAGCGTAATGGTCTAGGAGAAGAAGGATGCCTTACCTTTCGTTCGAATGAATCATATGACCTACTGTCAATTTTACTCTTATGAAGGGACCCTTGGCAGTGGACATAGGAGTCCTTCTTGTAGTTGAATGAGTATAGTCCCGAATATAATCCCTACTAAGGGACCCATGTCCATTTGTTCAAAGGAAACCTTAAGATTAACCGCTCTGCAAAATTCGGGAGTGCCATGCTGAGCTTGGTGTTAAAGAACATAAATTGAGTTGCCGTAGTCAAGAAACCTGACCAGTTGCTGGTACATATACATACATATCAGTGATTTATTTCAAGTTCCGGAAAACTAGCCCGTTACTCTAAGGAAGTTTAACGTGGCTAGCTTCACTTATATAGGCCTCATGTAAGGCTACCTACGTGGTAACTACCCACCTGCAAGCTAAGTTCCTTTGCAGTAGACCGGAAGGGTTCCAGCAGATGAGGTTGGCAGATGGTTGACCCGACTGTCAAATTCAGAAGGATCATGGATTCCCCTACCAGCCCCCCTCCTACGCCCCTGACTTTTGGGTAAGTGAGGGCTAGTTTCTGGGTCAATGCTAGGGATTCCTCATGGGGTATGGGATTCCTTATATTTATGTAAAAAGGATCTGTTCTTCTTCCTAGGGTAATCTGGGTAAAGTACCCTAAACCCTAGACGTTAAAGGTACTTTTGTCTAAGGTTAGAGTTAAGGGGGAATTGCGGTGGGGGAGCTTGTATAGCGTGAGGTGGGGTAGCAGGGGTGCTCAGACAGATGCGAGAATAAGATCTGAACTGAGGTGCTGTTACTTGAAGGGTCAGGGGGACTTAGTAAGTAGGTTGATAATGGGGATAATTGGGGTTACTATGTGGAGTATAAGGGTGATTAACATACTTACTAAGTCCCCCTTACCCTCCAAGTAGGGAACGTAAATAAACTGAAAGGGACGCTGTATACATTGCAATGTGTCCTGACGGATTCCCGGCAATTCGTACGATGAGGAGAGGGGGATAAGGAGGCTCATGAGGTTAAGGAAGAGCATGGGCAATTCCTGATAGAGCCCGAGTCATGAGCAGGAAAGTCTCCATAAAATGGATTTACATTAAGCAATGGGAGTTCCTTATCATGGTAAGTTCTTCAAGTTTCTACATCAGTATATAAGCCCTATATCAACCTAGTCTTTCCACTGTCTATGTCATTGGAACCTGTGCGGGCTGTGCCATCATTTTGAGACTGTAGCCCCTCATACTATATGGTGTGATGCACTGGGCAAATCAGAACGGCACCAGCCGATCTCACCTTGTTTCATGTGAAGTCGTCTTTAATTGGCACAAAGTTATTAGAGCCAACACAGGCCTAAACCCTTAAACCCTAAACAGAGACAGCAACCCAGACCCCCTAAAGGATCCAAAACATGGAACCCCCTAATAATCCCCTAGTTTCCCCAATAAAGTAATGGGTTCATGTTGGGGGGGTTCCATTTTTTGGATCCTAAGCCCAAAACCCCAATCCCTATAAACCCTATATATACCCCTATATAGACCCCTATAGACGGTTCCATTTTTAGGATCCTTTAGGGGGTCTGGGAAGCCTGTGCAGTGGATGCAAGAGAGGTACATCGCGGAGCGCCTGGTCGTCTGAACAACCAACCGCCAATGACCCGCAGAATCCCCTCCGCTACTAAAAAAGGCCCCTCCCAATAACAATAGGGTTACGGGTTTAGGGCCAGTAACAATAGAGTATGCCGTAGTATACTATTGTATATTATAGTAGGTTATAGTATATTAGAGCATGTCATTGCACCTGTTTCCTACTTGCAAGATATTCCCACCATCGCATGTTATAGTATATGGGGCTGAAAATGTCTTACTTTGTTGGTGGGGGGATGAATGAGGGGAGGGGATTAGTTGTCACTTAGATAGGGATAGTCGGATCTAGCTACACCGCAGAAGGTGGAACCGCAGAAGCCACATTTTCCGTCAAGGCATGGGAGCAAGAAGCTTCCTTCATTGGCTTTCGCTGTTTTGGTTGGTAGTCTGCTTTCCAGCAAGCAGTCTGCCATACCTTCGAGGTAGTAGAATGTGTGTGTGTGTCTGCATGGATGCAGGCGCCCTGAAATCGCAAGTATGCTGACATGTCTTTCAAGATACGGTTTGGCTTCTAGACAACTTAGGACTGTTGTCGAAATCGTTAACATCACTTTTGCTATATCTACATTTGGAGTCATTAAGTTTAGCACGCCGATTGCTTATAGTTTCTTCCTCATCATTCAACTTGCGCGTTCATTCTTGTCGCCACTCAATTAGGGTTGGCCCAAAGCATCCGAAAAACTTAACCCCGACACTCTAACTCCCTATTTCGGAAGCCATTCAAGATATAACCAAGCTATAACCTGAATCGCGATAGCACTAGCATCTCCTAATTTACCTACCTAGCTAAGTCCTGAATGGTGAGTTTTGTGAACTCCTTGACTGTTGGCTTCAGCTTTAACCTGGTGCTGTCGAACAACGACGGGACCACGGAATGCACGGGAGATACAAAGCTGCACAGATTACTTTCCACAACACCCTCCAACTTTAAATTGAAGGTTGGTAGCAGGTAGTGATGTCAGACGAGCAGAATGTTACCTAAGTTCATCCTACGAAAGCTGGTGCCGGGGATTTCCATTCATGTCGGGTGTATATTTTCACATAGTTCTGAAAAAGCACTGGCTACTCTACATGGAATGTGAATGGAATGTACTCTTCACAGGCCCCTCAAATGGCCCTGAAATTACGGAGTCTTGACATGACTACCCAGCAGACTTTTGACAAATTGTTTTCAGAACATCCGGAAAATTTTACTGGTGGATTAATCAGGGATTCTATACCCCTACTCCCTATTGAGCACCGATAAGACACCGAGACAGGGGGCTCAAATTGGGCCGGGGCTCCGACTGCAAGCCCAAAACTCTATTGGCTGGTTGTCAAAATTATGGTCCTTTTTTGGGTACCCTAAAAATTAGGGGCCGTATTATAGTAGGGACCCAAATAGGGACCGTAATTTTGACAACCACCCTATTGGGTTGCTGCTAAGGAACTTAAATTTAATTACCATAATATGGTATATACCGAATGATAAGGTTTCCTTCTTATGGTGTTGAAAAAGGCAGTTCCTTACAGCAACCCAGTCTAAGTTGAAGCTTCTCGAACCAAGGTCCCTCAAGTTATACAAGCCTGTGCTTCAGAAAACTCGTCCGTCCATAACCCTGAACCTTAAGTTTCGGAATGGTGCTTCCGCTGACTTCCACAACAGTCGGCTTACTGCAAACAAGCTCTCCAGACGGAACAGAGTCCTTTCAAACCTATGCAGGCAAAGTTGTTCAGCAACTAATTTTAGATCTCTGCGTGATAGAAAAACCAAAAATATGTCTACATCAAAAGGCTAACCGCGGGAAAGCCCTACATGCTGGATGCCTAAGATCTCACTGGCGAAACCATGGGATTGATGCATTCAGGTCAGAGAATGAAGGCATGCAGGAACAGGGATGGCCATCAAATGCTCGCCCGCGATCGACTTGCCTCTGGCAGCAGCGTAAACCCTGAACCCTTAAACCCTACATCCATTTCTCACTCACTCAAATACCTTCATGAGCTATTGACGAACTTCGGAAATACCCGTGCTTTGAACGCCCCTGCCAGGAAATGTCAATCGGCTCCACGATTGGGAGCTCCAAGAAAGAAGCCCCAAAGCCTCCCAAAGCATTGGCGGCCAACCAAAAAACCACCCATGCTGATACAGTGACTGAGTTGCTGCGAAGGAATTAAATGAGTTGACATACTTGGGAAACCAAGTTGTTTACTGAATTTACCGTATATCAAAATTAGCGTAACTTAATTCAAGTTCCTCAACGCTAACCCTAACCCAACTGCTCATACATCCAGACGTATCAACCTCATCATGCCATGGCTACCTGGGTGTTAAAGTCTATACCAGTCAAACCCCTTGGAGGGTCGGGGGGATTTTAGTACATAGGTTAAAAATACTTAATGGAAAAGAAATGGAAACTAGCTTGTTTTTTAGGGCTTAAGGTCATGGGGGCTCAGCGACTTAGCAAGTAGGTTCAAGTCCTATAGCAAAAACAGTAACTTTAGTTATCCCATTATGAACCTACTTACTAAGTCCACCTGACCCTCCCAGCCCTGTTGGCTAAAGTACCTTGTGCTTGTAAGGGATGAGGGAATGGA